AACGTCTTTAATTCCCAGACAACAGCTGAGGAAGTGGATACAAAATCGCTCGATGAGATGGAACAAAGCTTACTGACGCTCTCTGAGACAAAATCATCTTTGGTGAGCACTTCCGCTCTCTGGAAACAGCAGGTGTCTACTATCGCAAAGCTTCACTTCCTTAATTTAAGACGTGAAATGAAGTCAGTGAGAGTTATGTAAGTATTAAGCTGGCTTCCCGTGTCTTTTCCCCAAATCCGTTTATGAGCATCAGAAGCAAGCATGCTTAGATGTGCTTTAGTAGTTTGTTATACACCTGGGGTGCAATGGTCTAGCATCCCATCATGGTTTTTAAACTAGACGTTCAGAATCGTAGATGAGTTGGAGGATGTGCCATTGGAGTTAAACTCTTCAGGGGTCCTATAGCTGGCAGATGTGTTTGAATTGATCCTGGTGCTCTTTGCTACCCTAGAAAATCAGGGTCACAGGCTTGAGCTTATGATGAAACCATAGTGATGGTATGTTGGAAAAGGGACAAATAGAGAGAGTGTTGAAATGCACCCACAGAGAAGATGTAGGATAAGTAGACTTCAGCATATCAAGAAGTTGGATCGGGGCTGACACTTCCACCGAGGATGAGGTTAGAAAATGTGGCTTAGCCGCAAATGCTGCACAGAAATTGATGAAATTATGGACTGAACAAAACATAGCAAAATCGATCAAACCAGTGTCCTGACAGCATTACCCGATGGTTTGAGAGAAGTTGCCTGAAACGAAACAGATGTGAGAAAACGGCAGGCAGTAGGGATGACCGTGCTTTGAAAGATGGCAAGTGTAAAGTGAAATCATTTTAAGGCAAATAAAGTTAATTGGGGCTGGGGAAGGTGTGAAATCAGAGTATGGGAGCGATTAAAATTTAAAAAAAACTTGCAACGGTGGGGGCTGCGGTAGAAAGAAAAGAATGGGAACACAGCTATGGCCAGGCTAACCTGGAGCCAGACCACTGCCTATATGGTGTGACCTGATATGCCTGGGTATAACCAGGCTGGGTTTATGAGAGGAAAAGCCGTGGACTAGAATGAATGGTGATGCGGTGCTTCCTCTGTCTACAAAGAAACTTTCTGGGGAAAAAAGATGATGATAATCACTTGAGATGTAGGAAGACAAGAGAGCGGACAGCCACACCAGGTCCCTGGGCAATGGGGCAGGCAGGCTCTGTGCTACCAGAAGGGGCAGGGCAGAGGGTGGAAGGGGTGGGGCAGAGGTCAGCCAGCTCTCAGTGCTGCCTGGAGTGCACTGCATGGCTCCTCCACCTCCCCAGGCAGCCCTAAAAGCTGCTGGGAGCGCTGCCGCGGGGCTCCAGTGACGATTGAAAGGGTCCTGGGACAATTTCCCCCTTTTCCCTCCCTCCATCCTTCCCCATCTGTGGGCCTGTAGAAAAGCAGGGTTGTCATAATACTTGAAGCTGCTGTTGAATCTTTGCTTCCCTGGGGATGAGCCTCGTCTGTAGGTAGCATTGATGCTAATGTGAGGTGAATATACTATTGTGGTTATGTTGCTGCTTACCTGTAGCCTCCCACAATCACTTGTTTTTTTCTGGAGCAATTTTTCATTTCGGTAAAAAAATCAGTCAGGAGCTTTGCCTTTTATTGCTTTAGTTTTTATTAACTGTTGTCCGGACTGAGTTGCAGTATTCATGATTAGTTTCCTGTTAATGAAAATGATAATGTCTCTTTCTGGAGTGGGTCGGAGAGAGTCACCTGGGGACAGCTTGTTTTAAAAATAATCTAATAATTTGGATCTGTGCCACTGAATTTTCCTTAAATCCCCTATATCTTTCAGGTTGTTGCTTTTTTTAGTTTTTCTTGTAGTTCAGATTTTTATGTTTCTGATACATCACTACTACAAAAATTCCGTGGTTCCGATCAAATTTTCCCCAGATTTGTACTTGCTGAAGCCCGGAGAAAAATATCACAAGTACAAAACAAGTCTCCTTCTTCACAACTCCACAGGTGAGAAGAAAACAAGCAATTACAATTCTAATGGATTGCTGTTGTGTAGTTAATACTCCATCTATGAGCAACTTAGACAAGAAAGAAGTATCTAATATTCTTTAAAATTTGAACTTTCCAGTGTTATTCAGTCCCGTCTAAAACTGTATAAACCTCTATCCATAGTTTGCTGTCAGGAGCTGAACGATGAAGAACTTCTGGGTCTTAAAGCTTTCCATTATGTGACATTTTTACTTTATACATTGCTGTGGGAATGAAAATGGCTTTCTTCAATGAACACACACGTAATTTAAGGGAGGGACTTTCAAAAGTTCCCAGCATTTAAGTCAATGGGACTAGAGTTAGGCCAACAATGAGCACGTTTGAAAAGTCTACCTTTAAAAGTAGCTTGCTTAAATTCCATATCCATCCTCCCTTATTTTTTTAAGATTTTGCTTGGTAAAATCCATGAATCTCTAGTCATTACAACAAGAAAAACACATTGTGTGTCAAATATTTTAGATACTGTTTGTGCATCATATCACCTCAATTGTCTGAACCCTGTTTTCCAAAGGAGAGTAATGACCGATCCATGAAATAACTCCAGTAAAAAAAGTGTCTATAACCGAATCCCATGCACTGCTACAGGCTGTGGACTGACTGGGTAATTGACAGTTCTGCAGAAAAGGACCTGGGGATTACAGGAGATGAGAAGCTGAATATAAGTCAACAGTGTGCCCTTGTTGACAAGGAGGTTAACAACATATTGGGCTGCTATAGTAGGAGCTTTGCCAACAGACTGAGGGAGGTCATTATTCCCCTTTATTCGGCACTGGGGATGCCACATCTGGAGTTTTGCATCCAATCCCCCCTCCCCCCACTACAGAAAGGATGTGGACAAATTGGAGAGAGTCCAGCAAAGAGCAATGAAAATGATTAGGGGGCTGGAGCACATGACTTACGAGGAGAGGCTGAACGGATTTAGGCTTATTTAGTCTACAGAATAGAAGAGTGAGGAGGGATTTGATGACAGCCTTCAACTACCTGAAGGGGGGGATCCAAAGAGGATGGAGAGTGGCTGTTCTCAGTGGTGAAGATGGCAGAACGTGGAACAGTGGTCTCATGTTGCAGTAGGGGAGATCTAGTTTGGATATTAGGAAAGACTATTTATGAGGATGGGTGAAGCACTGGAATGGGTTGCCTAGGGAGATGGTGGAATCTCCATCCTTTGAGGTTTTTAAGGCTAGGCTTGACAAAGCCCTGGCTGGGATGATTTAGTTGGGATTGGTCCAGCTTCGAGCAGGAGGTTGGACTATATGACCCCAGAGGTCCCTTCCAACCCTAATCCTCTATGATTCTAAGAACTTCAATTAAACTTGATGCACACAGCAAACAAAAATTCCTTTATTCGGTTTGTGTGGATGTTGACGGAGGGAGCTGAAATCAAAGCATTAACACTATTTAAAATAGTTGAAGCGTCTCCACATGTAGACGAACAATAGCTTCTCATTAAGAAGATTCCATGAGAAAACGACTCTCTCTAGTTCTCTTGCTTATAAATGTGTTCATAATTTGTGTAAGGTTAGCATGCAACCAGATACTTCTTGTGATGAGCAGTCGTGGCTGCTTCTTTATTGCCTTCTTCTAGGCTCAGATATTGATTATCTCATCAGTGCTCTCAGAAGCCAGAAGATACTGACTGAGATGTTCAACGACAGTGATTATGTGGCAGCTGCACCCCACAGTGCAGCATTAAACGTGTCCCGTTCAGAAAAGGTGAGTAAGATGGGCCTGTGGTACAGATCTTTCTGAGGGTATCTCAGTAGTACTTTTTGACGCTCTGTTCTGTTTGATATTTTCAGGAGATGATACTATTGCTCCTATTTAAATTAGGGTGATAGTGACAGTTAAATGTAGTCTTTTTGATATGCGTGTGAACCTCCACTACCCTCTCTAGATATTGTTTCTCTAGATATTGTTAATTCTAGAACTTTTCCAATGTGGGGTAATAGCACAATGAAGAAAATGTTGCTTGTTGCCTGGTAGAGAATAGCTGGTTGATTAGTAGACTGGAAATTTTAGCCAGGAAAATGTAACTTCAGCATGCTAGTTACACTTAGGAATGTTAAATACCGGTTAATTGAGTAGTCGATTAACCTAATGAATTCTTATCAGTTACTCGACTATTCTATAGTCCCTGGGGACGGAGCTGGTAGTCAGTGCTCTCCGGCCCCTCTCTCAAGGAGACTGCTGCCATCCCGCGCTGCTGCCTCTGTATCAGAGGCAGTAGTGTGGGGTGCCAGGCGGGAGCTTGTCCGCAAGGGGAGCCAGTTTAAAAACCAGCTCCACTTGCGGACTGGCTGCCTGCCACCCAGCACTGCTGCCTCTGATACAGAGGCAGTAGTGTGGGGTGGCAGTAGCTCCTGTCTGGATGGGGAGGGGGATATGAGCTGGGACCCTGTCGTGAGCTGGAACTGAGCCAGGCTGCCTGCCCATCTGTCTCCTAATACACTTTAAATGCAGAGTTGCAGGGGGGTAGGTCCCAGACTTGGCGTGAGCCAGGACTGAGGTGGGCTGATGACTAGCCTGCTAAAAAATTTACTGGCAGGGGATGAGGGAAATGCATGTAGTCTCTAGAATTAATTGATGAGCTTTTGCTTATCAGTTAATCGACTACACGATTACATCCCTTGTTACACTAGCTTAGTAAAACTTCCTTTTCACATTTTCCATATAGAAATAAAATTCAAGCAAGAATGTATTTAATTTTGTTTTTACATACTTGCCAGTATGTGAGTACCTCATAAATCAATTATTTAATTTGTAAATTGTCTGGCAGTCTGTGTTTACATTCTATGGAATTGGGATGTGAAACATATGGATGGTATCACATGGAATTTAATTTCTAGCTTAATCTAAGGCTCGTTCTTCAGTGTAATTGATATTGACTTTAGTTTTAAAATTTTGCCGTCCTAAACAATTCTCAATTTTTAAAAAAAGATAATGTTTGAGCATATGCTAACAATGGGTTAGTGCTGTGAATGAGGGTTCTTTATGTATATTTTACATTTGATCTTTTTAATTAAACAGCAAAAAAAAAAAAATAAATCTGCACCCCCAGTGCAGTCTCTTTTCTTATTAGACCGTCTGCTCATTCTCCGTTCAACTTTGCCACTCACTCAAACTGCTTTTGCAGCAGTACTCTAGTACGGAAAGAGGAGTGTGTATATTAAGATGTACAGTAGATCCTCATGATTTGCAGATCTCTCCCATCCCCAGGGAGCCACGGTGAGCTCACCAGGGGAGGGAGGTTGGAAGCCACTACCCCATCCAGTATTCGTGGATTTCGCCATTCACAATGGTGCTGGGAATGTATCCACCATGAATGATGAGGGTTTACTGTCTTTCAAAGCACTATCTTTCAAGTCCAGTATGTGGTCTCAAGTGGAAGAACATGGTAAGGTTTGTAGAACTGTGAATTGTGCCTTGTGTTACTAAGAGGAAATAATTTGTAACACTGCGGTCTTGCCTTTCGTTCCCATTTCTTGGTACAGTTGACATTAGATTGTTACAGAATAGGGGGCAGAGCCCCACCTAAGGTAAATTGCTGTAGCTCTGACTTCAGTGGAACAATAACCATTTATAGTAGTTGAGTATCTGCCCCCACAGGTCACAAGTCTGAGCTGAGGAAGAGGGGTGTGTAGCTTGAAAGCTTCTCTCTCTCTCACTAACCGAAGTGGGTTCAGTAAAAGATATTATTGCAACCCCTTGTCTCTCGAAGACCATGTGATCTAACACTACAAACAAGTTAGATAACAACCAGTCTTGTAGCCAAAGGACACATTTGCATAAAGTTTTTATCATTGGCATTAACTTAGCTAAGTTTCCTTTAGATTGTGAATATTTTACTCAATTAGGATAAGTGTAAGTAACACTGTGCTTGTTAGGGAGTTCTATATTGTATAAAGAGTATTCATTAAATCGTCAGTTCTTCTTACAGCAGTTCATCCAATGATATTTCATTGCTAACTTTCATGCTGCAAACAAGTTAGATAACAATCAGTCTTGTAGCCAAAGGGCACATTTGCATAAAGTTTTTATCATTGACATTAACTTAGCTAAGTTTCCTTTAAATTGTGAATAATTTACTCAATTAGGATAAGTGTAAGTAACACTGTGCTTGTTAGGGAGTTCTATACTGTACAAAGAGTATTCATTAAATCGTCAGTTCTTCTTACAGCAGTTCATCCAATGATATTTCATTGCTAACTTTCATGCTACAAAATAACTATTGAAAATATTTTTCTTTATAGAATTACATGTTTACAGCCATATTCAACAGTACTATGGTGCACTCGCTGCCTGTTTTGATGAACATCATTAGCAACCTCTTTCTCCACAACTTAAATGTGACTGAGAATATTCAAACCTGGAGTAACCCATTCATTCAAGTAGGTAGAGTTCAAATCAGGAATAATCATAGGCAAATAATTGCATATTTGCAAAGAGTATAATAGCAAAACTGCAGTTGTGTGGCTTTGAATATTTAGGTTAGCCCTATATTGAAATATTGAAAAAACATAGCTATAAGTCAAAGTGATTGTCAACTTCTAAATGTGGCCATTTAATTCAGGCTGATTTTATTACTCTCATTTTCACCATGTCAAGCCTCTAAAGCCTTGTCAACACTTACAGGCACTGTTGATCTACTTCAGCTATGCAAGTAGAATAGCTGAAGTCAACATATTCACTGCAACGTCTTGTGTGCGGTAAGGTCAGCGGAGGCTGCTCTCCCATCGACACTAGCTACCCTTCTCGTCTTGGTGGTGTATAGGTGTTGCCGGGAGTGCTCGGAGATAGATTTATTGCACCTAAGCAGACGCGATAAATCAATAACCGGTGGCTCAGTCGCTGCAGAGTCGAGGCCTAAGTTAATGAAACATTGCACACTAAGCAGTATAGGTTTGAATTTTAAAAATCATATTTAGGATTTTTTTATAGAATTATATGTAGTTAATGTTTATATTATAGTAATGCCTGAGGTCCCCAGTCCAGGGCATTGTACGCACATAGAAAAGAGATGTTCCCAAATCTAAGGACACAAAGAGAACAGGAGTAGAGGTTTGGTATATAACAGGAGAAAAAAAAAAAAACTATTGTGACAATGAGCACAGCTTTGTTAATTCTGTATTGTAGGTTTGGAGAGTGTTAATTGTCTGGGAGAGGGCAAGAGGAGTGATCAGAGCCTGTCACCCATCTTGCGCTGATTAGAATGTGGTAGAGTTGAGGCATCAGCAGAGATTCAAAACAAGATAAGGTAGAATTTTGTCAGAGTTTTCCCAACGTGTGAGGCACAGCATGGAGGAGAGCACACAGCTCTGTAGAGCAGCGCTGGTGGGCAGTGAAGGTTGGAAAGGTGGGAGGCATGAGGGTGGAGGCCGATATTTTGATGGGTTGCTAAGTCACCTGGATAGGATGGATTTCCGCTTTGAAGGGCCTTAAAGATAAAGACAAATGGTGGTCTCTTAGTGCTGTTGAATTTAATGGGAGTTCTGCCATTGTCTTCATTTGGGCCAGAATTTCACTCGAGAAGCTTGTTTGTGATGAAGGAGGTAAAAAAGGAGCCAGGAGAGGCTCAAAGTGTGGCATAATATGATTAGACTTGAAAGGAGCAAGGCCACAGTAATCCAGGGGAGCAAAGAGGAGGTGACAGTAGTTAGTCAGCTGTTCACAGTTGCCATTTTCTTTCTCGTGTGAATATATTCGTTTTATAAATTGCACAAACACCTACACAAAACTTTATTGCCGTGTTTTTAACTTTGCTGCTGTGCAAAAGGTCTTGGCAGCTATGAAATGTCCTCTTTTGGAACTAAACAGTAATCAGTCCTGTCCATACCATAACCACATAGTCCACCTAGATTTCCCCGCTCCCGCTCAGGCTTGCTCTGTTACCTATAGAATAGGCTGGTGCGTTACCATACAAAAACAATATTTCAGTGTTTTCTGTGCTTTTATAATAAGCTGTAACTAAAGTGGCATGGGTTGGAGTCTAGGTACATGAGCACAGGAAATCATGTTTAGAAACTTCAACAAGCAAGTTTGAGGCATTGTTTCTTGTCTCAGTATATTCCGATTCCCCAGCGTTGAAGTCTGATTATTTTTCAGGACATTGCTGACACCATTTTCCAATATGAGTTCTTTTTTGCAACAATGCTGCACTGAATATTTGTAACAGGA